GAGACACAAAGCCCAACTGTTGTAAAAATATTAGTATTCAGATGCTCTTGTGTTTTGTTAATGCATTTAATTGTGCACAATATAGCTATTGTTTTCCTTGAACATTTGCATTAATTTATATTAGCTAGAATATAAAGCAGCTATAAAATCACTATTTCTGTTGCTCTTGCAACCTATAAATAAGCATTGCATCCCTGCAGAAACCACAGCTTTACACTGACCATGGTATTCATGTTGCTTTTCCAAACAGTACCATGCAGTGATGTATCTAAGCACGGTAAAAATCTTAATGGCCTCACGCAATTGAATGTTTCGTGAAAGGACAGTGCACTGAAGACACCCCCCCACACAGCTTATTCTGTTTTTGCCACGCCTGTCCTCACTCCCTGACCTGTTTCTGGGGCTCAGCGCAGACACACCACAGCTGTCTGTCTTCCAGGAGCTCGCATAAGACCACAGCGGGCTGGGTCCCTGCTGTTGCATCTTTCTTTGTCCCTGCACATGTGGGGAGGAAGGTCATCTATCTGCCTGGACATGCAGGCTTTCCAGCGGCTGCATGATAAATGTCACTACCGGGCAGTTCCTTGACCTGTGTGATTTTGAGGGAAGAAATCCATAGGGTTGGACCCCTTTTCCATTTGTTGCATAGGTTTGTGAAAGGGTGTGTTGTACTTATACAAACTTCCACTAATGGACGCACCTAAAGGAAAATGACCATGGCCTCTCCTTGTGTGCCACTGCACCCAGAGCTGGTGTCCTGCCCTCCGCAGGCCCTGATGGGACGTTGGTAGAGAAGGAGGCTGTGCCACTGCATGTTCTCAAACTCAGACAGGGTAGCTCCTTCCAGCCGGACACAGAGACCTGGGGAAATGCGGAGAAGGAAGGAGCTGCCTTAGAGTCAAATCCTGACAGTGGTTCAGAACCAGAAGACACTTGTTAACATACAGCAGCTCACTTCCCCCATCCCCGAGGGTGGTGACCTGGGAAGTGGGCAGGCTGTGCCATGACTTAGTCAATGGTTCAAACCACTGAGGCACAAGGCAACTAATTTCATTTAGAGTTTTTATGGGAATCTGGCTCCTGATGGTGCTCTGCCTCAGAGCATGGGGGGGGGGGGGGGGGGGTGTGCACATGTGTGTTGTGTGCAGGAGGGAGGGATTCACCTAACCTCATTGAGTCTAAACTTCACTCACGTGACAAACCTGTACTGCCTGTTTCCCGGGGGCAGATGGAACGATCCATCCAGGGTCCTCTCCCTGGAGTCACCTTCTGAGTTGCCAGTACCAAGACTTTCCCAAGTGTAAATGTTGGGGAATACTTTTTTAAGGGGTAAAATTCTTCTAAACATTCAGTTTAACAACTCAATTTTCCCCGACTTGTCTTCTCAATCCACATAAAGAAATGCTCGCAGAATACTTACTAGTGGCAGCCAAACCGCCTGAGAAAGCCCTTCTCACAAATGTGCTCTAGCAATGGTGACAAAGAGGTCGCACTGTGGGCCTGAGCCTGTCCTCAGAGAGGTCTGCTCGAAAGCACAGCCCTCAGCTGTGGTCTGGAACTCGGGATTCAGGCACGTGCCCGCCACCTTCCCTGATCTGCAGGGTGGTCCCTGTGCCCAAGCAGTCCCCGCAGGTGACGTGAAGAGTGCCGTGCAGGCTCATTCCCTGGGGGGCCTGGGATCATGGCCACAGGGGGCAGAGGCAGCCCCACCAGCTTAGGACCAGCCTGGTGGATGGTGCTTCACAGGCAAAGTCACAACGTTTGCTGGAAAATTCAGTGTGTCTTCTGCAACTCTGCTCCATACTCTTTTCACTGTCATAAGATATCGCTGTCGTAAGTCATCATGGTGACAGGGCCACTCACGGGGTCCTGGAAGTCCACCCAGCACATCACAGAAACTGAGGCTCCTAGGGATTGAACACTGTCACCCAGAGACGTCCTCGGAGGAGGCCAGCCTGAGGGGCCCATACATGCCCTGCACTCCTGCTCCCATTCTAGGCCCAGACTCCTTCTTCACTTATGTTCCAGGCAGACCCGGCCCCTCTCCCAGCCCAGCTGCACAGGGTGAGGAGCCCAGGTCCTGGCGGTCCCTCCCGCACACACGCACTGTGGGACACACGCCTCCTGCTCTGCCCTGTCCAGTCTGCTATCAGCCAACAGGGCTCCCCACTCCCCAAACCCTGCAGCACTGGGTCTTCTCTGCACCCTGTGACACTGTCATCTGCCACCCTTTCTGACCCCAGCACAGCAATTCCCCTGCTGTCCAGCCTTATTCCAAACTGATTCCTGCCCAAGCCCCTGAGTGGGGCCTGCCTTTCCTCTGCCATAGGCACTCCCTTCACCCCTAAGCCCTCAAAGGCCCAGACTGCCCTCACCTCCTCTAACGCCTCCCTGGTGACCTCAGCCTCTTCCATTTTCTTTGTATCATTGCCTGGTAGGAAATCACACATTCTGCCAGTGTTCTATAGCTGCCGAAACAGATTGCCACAAACAACAGGAACTGGTTCTTTCACAGTTGTAAAGGCCAGAAGTCCTAACTTAAGGTGTCTGCAGGGCCCTGTGCCTCGAAAGACTCCAGGGGAGAATGTGCTGTGTCTCTGAATTTCTGTGGCACCAGCCATCCTAGTGCTCTGTGGCTTATACATGTGTTGGTCTGTCTCCCCCTCCATCACCACACTTACTCCCAGTGCACCTGTCTTTCTGTGCCCAGACTTCCTCTTCTTACCAGGGTACTAGCCATTGGATTAGAGCCCATCCTACTGCAGTATGATCTCATGTTCACTTAGGCACTCAGTAAATAATTGATGGATGAATGGGAGGATGGAGGGGTAGATGAGTGGATGGATGAGTGGGAAGATGGATAGATTAGTGGATGAGTGGATGGAAGAGGGGATGGATGGATGGATGAGTGGAGGGATGGGTGGATGGATGGATGGGTGGATGGATGAGTGTACGGATGGATAGGTGGATGGAGGGGTGGATGGATGGATGGATGGATGAGTGGATGGATGGGTGGATAGATGGATGGGTGGATAGATGGATGAGTGGATGGATGGATGGATGGATGAGTGGATGGATGGATGAGTGGATGGATGGGTGGATAGATGGATGGATGAATGGATATGTGGATGGCTGGATGGATGGATGGATGGATAAGTGGATGGATGGATGGGTGGATGGATGGATGGATGGATAAGTGGATGGATGGATGGATGAATGGATGCATGGATGGATGAGTGGATGGATAGATGGATGGATGGATGGATGAGTGAATGGATATGTGGATGGATGGATGAGTGGATGGATAGATGGATGGATGGATGGATGAGTGAATGGATATGTGGATGGATGGATAAGTGGATGGATGGGTGGATGGATGGATGGGTAGGTGGATGGATGGGTGGATGGATGGATGGATGGATGAGTGGATGGATGGGTGGATGGATGGATGGGTAGGTGGATGGATGGGTGGATGGATGGATGGATGGATGAGTGGATGGATGG